CTGTTTTCAGCAGAAGTGCTTTCAAACTTCAAGGACACACAAATGGGCCCAGTAATTATAACATTTTATAACACTTTTTTATAGGAGGCTTCAAAACTGGGGTGCTCTGAAAATATTTGGGCGGCCAAAACATGATATGAAATAAAGAAGCAAACACAAACCCTACACTGAAAGTTATTCAGCTTAATGCTGTCATTTTTCTTCAGTTATTATAGACTAATATTATAGACTTGCTGGGGTTGTTTGACCCCAGTACTCTTTCCTGCCATGGCAGAGGGTTGGACTAGATGATCTTCTCAGGTCCCTTCTGACCCTAGAAACTATGAAACTATAACCCAGGGAAGCTGATGCTTGTTTTCTGGCTGGTAGTCAGACCTTAGTACTGGGCCTCAAGCTGATGCGTTTTGCCGAGTAGGACTGGATTTAAGCTTCTGCTTAGCTTTTTAAGCACACGCTTTGCTGATTTGGGTTTGGGGAGGGAGCAGAGCCTTGCATGTGCAAAACTTGCTGAGGTGGTGTTGGACTAAGACCAAGCTGTCGTTCTGTCTGCTTCTAGGTCCTTGGGACGCTTTTCATTTACGTCTTGTTTATGGTGGAGGAGTTCAGAAAAGAGCCAGTCGAAAACATGGATGATGTGATTTACTATGTAAACGGCACATACCGGCTGCTGGAATTCCTCGTGGCGCTGTGCGTCGTGGCCTACGGCGTCTCGGAGACCGTCTTCGGGGAGTGGACCGTGATGGGCTCCATGATCATCTTCATCCACTCCTATTACAACGTGTGGCTGCGTGCCCAGCTGGGGTGGAAGAGTTTCCTTCTCCGCAGGGATGCTGTGAATAAAATTAAATCACTGCCCACTGCTACAAAAGAGCAGCTGGAGCAACACAACGATATCTGTGCCATCTGCTACCAGGTACGCACTTCAGTTCAAGGGGGAGGACTCTTGCTGTACCTGTGGGCTGCGTGGAGGCCACATCTCGAGTGGTGAAACAAACTGGGATTGTTTCTTGCCTCCAGTCCCTAGAGAAGTCCACTATGTCTAACTTGGCTTAGTTCAGAATTTAGGGTGGTCACTTCTGTGACAGTCCAGAACAGATGGACATGGCTGGATTTTTAAGTAGAAATGAAAGTGTTTTTTTTAAACTTTAAATTTGCTTAGGTGTTGGCTAAAAGCAAGCCTTGCAAAATCTCTGAATTTCTGAGAAGCTTCCACTGAATTTGGGTCAAGCTGTTCTTGATAGGACTGGCAAGCTCTGCCTGCTGTCACCAGGTTTCTCTTCTACATCCTGGAAGACTGGGCTTGCCCCACTAGCTGAAGGTGCCATATCAGTTCACAAAAACAATTCAGTGTGTGATGTTTCCATTTCCATTTTGCTTAGAAGACCTACTGGTTCTAATAGAAAATGAAACCTCATGCCTGTGAATCAAGAGGTCTAACTTACACCAGCAGAAGGAAGGAAATAAAAAATGAACACTGAGATTAATGTTCTTTGCTGTGTCTCAAGTCCTGAAAAGTTGGGTGCTTCCCCATGGAAAGTAGTGTTGGCTCTGAATGGAAGTGAAAGAGGAACTGTAGGATGAATGATATAGGGTTTATTGCAGGTGGATTTTCTCCAAAGTTGAGAGAAGCTTCCTTCCCCACCCCAAAAAATCCCAACTGATGGCTTCACCACATTAAAATGCTTTGTTGAAAACAAAGTGGCTTAGATGGCATGTGAGTGAAAGACCAAGGTCTGACCTCTGGTGTAGCTCGTTGCCAGTCCCTCGCTAAGTAGACTGACATTTTTGTCACATCATGGGGTTCAGAAACATGTAGCTGGGGACTTAGACCGTTGGGGTTTTTCTCTTAGTCCCTTGTAACAAACTCCCTACAACTGCCTCTAGGAGCACCTGGCCATAATCCTTTTGTCCGAGCTTCTTGTCCATGCGGTGTTGACTTCCATGGTACTGAAGTGGTTTTATCATTGTAGCCTCATGTTAGTGCTTGCTCTGTTCAGCTCTGGCAAGGCAGGGACCCAAGCCAATGTTTTGCCCCCTCTCAGGAAGCTCTTAGGTCTGGGGTGAAGGGAGTTATGTGCGAGATAGCCGAGGTGGATGGGAGTGTGCCCACCTGTCCTGTGACACCATTGTTCTCTGTCTTTCAGGATATGAAATCTGCTGTAATCACACCGTGTAGCCATTTCTTCCACGCCGGCTGTCTTAAGAAATGGCTGTACGTGCAAGAGACCTGCCCTTTGTGCCACTGCCAACTTAAAAGCCCCTCGCAGCTCCCCGGACAGGGACCGGAGCCAGTTCAACAGCCAGACCCTGGAGTGGAGCAGAATAGGAGTCATCGCGAAGCGAACGAGCCCCAGGGTGTCAAACACAACGAGGCGCCAGATACGCAAGACAGTCTTAGTGCCAGTGATGGACAAGGGGTGGAGGAGCCAGCTTGCCAAGAGGACTCTGTGGACCTTGTAGAGGATGCTCAGAGTCGAGATTGTGGCCTGTGGCCTGTGGAGGCCAGGCAGGGGATGCCTATTGCAAAAGAAATTGTGCTGGAGGATCAAGAGGAGTCTCCCACTCCAGACCCACGGGCTTGTGTCCAGATTTGAAGCGACAGTGGACGATGCTGGAGCAGATGCGTTTCGGAGACCCAGGCCTGACTCAACAGAGAACTTGTCCTTCCGCTGTCGTGATACAGTTTAGCAATTATTGCTGGTCAAGATTGTACTTCGAATATCCTATGCTGATTACCGGTGGGCTGCTTGTTAAGGGGGGATGCCAAGGGAACTCAACTAAAAGGACTCCAGAAGCTGCCTCTGGATTATGAGGGGAGGAAGAGCCTGGAAACAAACTAAGTGGAAAGAGTGTTTTCGGGGGGTGGGTGAAGGGTAAGACGAGCAGGAGAGGGTGTGGGAGGCGGCAGAGCGTCCAAGGAAGTGTTAGCGTTTGTTTGGGTGGGGAGGGGAACCGTGTCCCAGGGTGCCCGGGGGGGTGGGGAGGGGGGGGGTTACCACATGTTGGCCTGCTTTTCTGCATTGACCAGAGTGCAGCCACAATCGCTGATGTTTTGTAGAGCCCTGAAGCAAGAGGCAAAAGCCTCAGAGCACCGATTGTCCAGGAAGACAGAAGCACTCCTACGTCATGTACCTGCTTCAGGCATTTCTGGTGGAGCAGTTGCATTTGCATTCATGTAATCTATAGCGACTCTCGACTTTTATGACAGAGTCCCCGATATTTTGATGTACATGAAACTTTTGTTAATAGATGAGGATGCACCGTCTGGGCCGTGTGAAGTAAACTAAAGCTCGCGTGAGCACTTCAACCTCCACCGGAGGGAAGTGGGAAGAGCTTTAGGGCACGGATAGAGGCCGCGCAGTGCTGTCCAAACCTGTGTAACGTTCACTTCCTGCAGCTGAGTTTAAAGCAGTATTAAGCTCTGGCAATATTTGCACTTTTGGGAATGAGTACATTAATGTGTATGATCAAACTCCGCAAATGCCACTTTGACAGCTGTTAATTAGGGTATGCACCTTTTTTTCTTCGACAAGGATGTGTCCATGCTTCAATTTTTACATTCATCATGGCTTCAGGTAGAAGTGGGGAGCGGGGAGGGGTGGGGAGGTCAGGAGTAGGGGGAAGGCAGTTTTTTTATGTGAATTTTGATATGAAACGAACCTAGTCACTTATTTATACGATAGGCTTGACTCAAGTGTTTTTCAAAGCTGGTATTCCTAATGTGAGACGTGATACGGTTTTATTTTTAGCAGTACATTTGGATGTAGACTGACAGACATAGCTGAATGTCTCAATAAATTACCTTTGACGATTTTTATATTTGGTTTTGTGCTTCTTATGCAGATGCTCCTCTGGATTTCATGTGGGTCTGGACTGGCTTTGTTCCCTTCCAGGCCCAGCGGACCTCTTAATGTTTCCTCCCTAGGCTCCTGCTCCAATGGCTGTACCTGTGTTAGGGAGCTAAGGACAGTTCAGGTCCTTCAAGACTCTTGGTCACCAGTGCCCGAACCACAGAGCGAGTACAGAACAGTACGTTGTACACTTACCTCAGGGCCAAGTACGTACCTTTGTGGGGCTACCAAGGCAAAAGCCCAGGTCTGAGGGTGCCTCCTCCTTGACCAGTGAAAATAATGATTGCGGGAAACGGCTAGTCTCTTCCTGCTTGGATTTGCTTGCATGCCGTCTTAGTATGTGGTGGTGAGGTTTGCCATGAACTTCCCTTATTGTGGTTCTTACTGGATTATTAATATTGCTGGTTGGGAAAAAGCAGCAAAAAGTAGGGAAAAAATTTCATTACTTTCACCGCTGTCCCCCATCCCCATTGCTATCGATGGGTGAGTGGGCTCACGATAAAATGTAGTCATGGCTTCCCCAATAGCCTGACCTCTTCAGGGACAAAGTACAGAACTGTGACCCTCCAAGCTTCACTTTGATGCACATACTTAGATTTGTACTCTCCTCCTGCCCCCCCCCCCATGTTTAACAGGTCATTGCAGAGGGAACAGAGTATGTGGATAGACTCTGCAGAGATTCCCGTTTCTGTAGCAGTACTGATCAGGATTGCAAAGCGATCCCTTCCCTTCTTGAACGCGTCCTGCCTTTAGCAAAGAAGTTGTTGCGAGATCCAGGGTCCCATGTTCCGTGCAGGAAAGTATCCTGCAAAAACGTCCTGAAGGGAGGAGAGCTCAGCAAGGGAGCATCCCCATGCGGGGTGTTTGTGAGCTCACCTGAGACACACGGCACAAATGCTTGGCTCCATCTTAATTGTTTTTTAATGGTTTGCTGTCTGTGGAGAAAAGACATCCATCCCTGTGCGGAGCAAACCTGATCTTAACTGAAATGCTCCCACTTTAGGCAGGAATGCATGCAGGACACGCTTTTAAATGCAAAAGCAAGGATGGGTAAAAGCAAGTGAGACTTGAAAATTTCCTTACCCCGAGCTCCCTCTGCTGGTCTCCTCATCGCTTTGGCAGCAGACCAAGAATACAGCTATTCAGATGTATTTTCTCAATGGTGATGAATTTATGTTTGCAGGAGCTGCAAGAAGCCCTGTCTGCAGTAGAGGCAGATGCATAGGAGGAGATGCAACTGGAAATGATGAGCAATGTGTCCTGCAAAATCCAGTTGTCCAGTGGCTGGGGCACCTCCCTGGGATGTGGGGACTGAGGTTCATGCCCTTGATCCAAATTGAACAGGCAGGAACTAGTACCTGGGTCTCTCCCACTCCAGGCGAGTGCCTTAAACATTGGATAACAGGCTGATGTGGGCTGGTTGAGCCTTCTGCCTCCTGTCTTTTCATCAAAATTAAGAAAAAGGGAAGGTCTTGGTTTCATCAGGACTCAAGAAAATCTTTGAAATTCCTAAAGTTTCTGTGGGGTGGGAAAACTGCTTCCTGGTCAGCCCCAGTCCTGCTTTTTCAGGGACAGAGGATTTGCAAGTTCATCAAAGAGTTTGTCCTTCTTCTGGTTTAACAGAAGTTGGAAGTGGAAGGAGCTCGACTTGACTTTAGTCCAAAAATTGAGATTGGAGGCAAAACAAACCAAAAACCCAAGCAGTGTCTATGAACACTCCTTCCTCTGTTTCTTTCTCTTTAGGCAGTGGAATAGACCGTATTTTAATCACTGCCCTTGCAAGTGTTGCCAGACCAAAGGTTTCCATCTGATGGGTGAGACTGAACTAAATCAGCACGCACCTGATGTTGCTGGCTTCTGCTCAAGCCCAGAAAGTAAGCAGCATCAATAGTGAGCGGTGGGCCAGATTTTAAACTGGAATTCCTGTGTTGATCCCCTGGTGCTGGACAATACAGGTACCGTTTGTTTCCACTCGATTGTGGAAGCTCTCCAGCTGCTGTGGTCCGTGGTCTCCAAAGCACTTGCAAAGGTTTGTGGTGAGGTGGCTAGTGGTTTAGTGCTCACGCCCCCAAGCTTTAAAGTGCATGATGAGGTGGTTCACAACTGTTCTCACCAAAGTCTCTCCTCCGTGTGCCTGCCGGCTGCAGTTGCCTGTCACAAGGGCTGTTGAGAACAGCCCTTGTGAATGTGGAAGAGAGTGGTTGTGTACATTGCAGCAGCTGAGGAGGAGAAGGTGGCGGGCATGAAAGTCCATTCTTTAAGGACTTCTAGGTTTCCAGTACTGTCCCCATGAAAAACAGGCAGGGCCTTTTCAATTATTTCAAGTTGCACATCCAAAAAATGATGGCTGCCCCATCCAGGTGTCGCTTGATCAAGAAGGGATGCTGCACAAGTGTCTGTGGGCCCATCTGCAGTGCAGCCCCAAAGAGCTCTGTCCTAGAGGTCTCACCTGTGTGCTGCATACGAGGTAGGAAACACATGATGACCTCCTGAGACCCCTTCCAACCCTCATTTTCTGAGTTTGTTTGCCTGATCTGTGCGACCTGTGCAAGAGGCTCCTAGGGGAAGATGTACGATCCCACCCGGCTCCAGTAAACTCTCGCCCCTCGCTTGATTTTGCTTGGAGGAGAGGAACAACTTGTTGAGAAGTTGCTGGCTGAGGTGATTTCAGACCCAGCTTTGCCCCTAGCATAGTGATCCTGGCACCCTCATAAAAGCCAGCTGGTTGCGATCAATCCTACTGCCCCCTTTGTACAAAATCATGGTTCTCATGAAGTTCTTATGAACTCCTGCCATGCTTTCTTGCATTCAGCGTGCCCTGGGATGAGAGATGCACCTTGTTTCCAAAAAGCAGAATGGAGACAAAAGGTCCTTCCTTGTAACTGAGCAGCAGCGGGAGGAACTGGGCCTGCTCATTGAAGTGCATGCAGATTTTACTTTCCCTTTTGCTCCTTAAGTTGCAGAGACTGCTTTTTCTTCTATGTAATGTGCACAAGGGTGCATGCTATATGCAGGAAAGTATGCTATTTCAGAAAAAGCATGGCCTCATGATTGTCTTTGCAAGGCCATAATGGCTGATCCATGAGCCCCAAACTGTAGTCCTAAAGATCGTCTCTGTTCTTGTTTGGGGTTTAGTGTCCTCGTATGCAGGCAAATATCCAGTGAGGACTCAGACTGTGCATGACCAGGGCATATTTCAAGCATTTGCTGTTAAGAAGCAGTTGTGACTCAGCTGGCAAACTGCTCAGCAAACTTTATTGTGTGGCTTAACCTCTTCTGAACATAACCCTTTTAGAGCAGTAAGCAGCCTGTGATCAAGTAATGCCCTCTCTTCACTGGGAAGGGTTGCCTTGCATTCATCAGCTTTCTCAGCAGCCTGCAGAAGGACACTATCGACACAGGTATGAAAGAGCTGTTGAACCAAACCTGGCACACAGCAGGGGCAGAAGGAGAAACCCTAATGTATGTGCAACCAATTTAAGAAAAAAAGCAGCATCCTCTAGTCTAAAATGTTACAAGTAGCTAGAGCAATGTGTTTTTTGCCAGCGGTTGTTTCCAAGAGGCAGTGACACATCCTCAATATTAGCAGTATGTGTTGCAAAGAGCTTGAGCTGCAGACGGCCAAAGAGCAGACGATCCAAAGAATTCGCGGGAACAGATGTGAAAGGCTTGAGGTAGGGAAGTCACCCACATGGTTCCTTTACAGGAATTTAATTTTTATTCCATAGGTTAAGTTCACTGATTGTACAGGACAGGGGGAGAGTTGCATGGGATACAGCTTTATTTCTAACTTAAACTCTGTTTATGATGACAACTATCGTTTTTAGTTTTCTTTAAATAGCCTGTTCACTATGAGCTTGGAAAAAAAAAAACCCCAACTCCCGGCTGGAATGCAGAAGGATTAAGTTTTATTTATTTTTCTTGCTAAAAGCTGCATTGCGCAATTTGAAAGGAAATGTCCTTGAAAGATGGGTTCCTTCATAAACGGTTTCGGCCCTTGTTTGTTTTTACATGGAAATTAATTTCTCAAAGACCCTCCGTGTTAGGAAGTGTGTGTTAAGTGAGGGGAAATGAGAAATCGCAGCCTGCTAATGTGGTTTCACATTAAGTTCTCGGGTTGCAGATGAGTTTGAGCATTTTGTATTTCTCTGTGGGTCTGTCTACACATGCAATTAATGCTATTTGGCTTTACTGTGCAGTAAATTTACTACCTGCGAATACACGTAGTAAATTTACTGCACAGTAGACTAATTTACTGCACAGTAAATGCCTGCATGTGTAGACAGTGACGCTTTACTGTGCAATAGATTAGTCTACTGTGTGATGAAGTATCTCATGAAGACATGGCTTGTGTGTCTTAAGTGTCAGAAGTACAGTAACATCCCAACAACTGAACGGTGGAAGTGAGAAGGAAGACTAGAAGAAAGTTGCACAAAAGGAGCCGAAATCTTAACTCTACCTTATTGTGTCACAAGTTCAGAGTCGTGCTGATGGACTTTGTCCCTGCCCCAAAGGCCTTGCATATCATCCCTGTTGTGCATTTGAACCACACCTAGCACATGAGGCCTTAGCCCAGGACAGGGGCTCCTAGGAAGTAGGGCACTACCAGGCCCGGTGGGTGCTGAAGCAGCTCTTGTTTTACAAAGCCCAAACCTGCGGCCAGTACTTACTGAAACAAGCCCCTCGGGCAGCTGCTGTGGTCACACAGGTTAACCAGATTGAAGTTGATAGGTCTGCTCGTCTGAACTCCAGTTAGTGAGCCAGTGCCTTGCAAAGGAACGGGGGTTTTATTCTTTAATGCGACAGGCACGGATGTCTGCGGGTGGGATCAGCCGTACCCTTGGGAGAGATATAGACCAGCTTCTGCATAGTGCATACCACGTGCCCTTCCTTGGGCCTCACCTTTCTTAGGTCTTCCTCAGGCCTTTGATTCTTCAGAAATTCAGCTGCAAGTGCTGGGTAAGAG